GTGTGTGTGTGTGTGTATGTGTTACGACGCAGTGGAATCAAGAGCTCGTATATTTTTATGAATATGGAGTTATTGGTATCAGCATACAGCTTTTTCATGTGTATCTTTTGATGAAAAAAAATTCCCATCTATTTTGAATAGGATTCGAGATATTTACGATTGAAGGAGGTGGGGGTCGCCTGGTTTCAGAGGCAAAATTAACGAGAAACTGGCCGCCAAAGTTTAGAGACTTCCACAGTTTGAGAGTCCTTGGAAACTGAAATGTCAACATTTTGTGAGCCTGTTATCAATGTTTTTCATTACAATTCACCCAGAAATGTAATTTTAAATAGACAAGAAAGGTTTTTTAGTCAAAAACAAAAATTCGATTTCTAGAAATCCCCAACGGACGAAAAAATGCCGATTTCTTCGATACCACTGTTTTGACGAGCGCCTGATTTCACCATGATGCCTCACATAATAATATTAAAGTATCACAGGTGTTCGGTAGGAAAGAAGGAGCAAATCATACCAGGGCACCCGCCAAATACTTATTGTAAGTTCTTTTGGTCTTTTAAAAATAATACATGTATGTTGGGGACATATTTCATTAAGGCATTTAAATCAAAGCCATCTACATCTAGTTCCTTGTTTACGTATCCAGACCGCAAATCCACCCAGTGAAACTTGACACACCGGCAACTGCCTGCTGTGGCAGTCAGGGGTTTGTTTTATACTATAGGCGCCTCGCAGGCCCATGCAAAATTCCTTTTATCGGGTATCACGATCTTTCATTCGGGACATTTTTAAAACATGTAGTAATAATTAAGGCTTATTATCAGGGCTCAGAACAATTAGACAAAAATCCAGTATCCGTACATTTCACAGACCCAGTAGAACTATCCAAATGGCTCTACCGCGCTGCGAATAGCAGTGAACAGCGGGAAAAAAGTGAATGTTGAATGAATAGTCATACATAATAGTAGCCTAGAGATTCGAAAGCGCACTACTGCGCACAGCTCAGAGCGAACTAACAAAAGACAGTACAGTACTACAGTGCGTTGATGACACAGCTATAATTGAGAGGAGTTAATAAATATTAATTGTAATAGGCCTCGGTGATACTAAATTATGACAAGCAAGGACAAAAAGGGTGATGGAAGAAACGTGCGCACTGACGCGCTTTCGTGCCCGTGTGTGTGTGCGTGTGTTTGTGTGCGCGAGTGTGTATGTGTGTGTGTGTGTGTGTGTGTGTGTGTGTGTGTGTGTGTGTGTGTAGAGA